AATATAAGGTTTTGTTCCCATGTACTTCAGAAGTCCCTGTAGATATATGTAAACACAGATTTCATCTCAAATGGATAAGGAAATCTTTCTCGATATTCACTTTAAACAGAGTTGGTAAGTAGCAGATACTCCCTATAAAGAAATGTATTTTCCATTATATTTTAAGTAAAAAATAATAGTTTTTAAAATGGAACAAATAAAAGAAAAAGCTAAAAACATAAATGGCTGTTATGAGTCAGTTTAACAAGTCAACTACAACCTCTCAATGTTTGTATTATAAAGATTTTAATGAGGGAGAAGTGAAAGTAGTGGATTTTACTACAACCCCTAGTCAACAAAAGAAAAGACCAACACTTATGCAGGTGTGCATGTGAGTGAAAAATTCATTAAAAAAAAAGAAGTTATATAGTGATTAAGTCATTTAAGAAATCTGGTATCAGTAACACAATTGATCTCTTTTGTTATTTAGAACAATATATACTAATTTTCAAAGTATCAGACTGAATTTTTGTTCAATAAAAATCTTTGAAATGCAACTGTATTTTAATCATTTAAAATGGTGAACCATAAAACAATTACCTGTAAAAACAAGATAAAATGGTTTAAGAGTAGACTTTATATCATACAAAAAATAAATGAAGTTAATTTTGAATGTTAAAAATTGACATTAAAAACAATCAAAAATCTGCTTTAAGTATGGAAAATTATTTTTTAATGATTAACTATATCCAAATTACTTGCAATTAAATGAGAAATATTTAATATTAGTATTATTTTATTACTAGTCTTAATCCATCTTACTGTCACTTCTTATCACAACACTCTGGGTGAATACAATATTTATTATTATTTTATTATTACTTTTATTACATCTTATTATTGTTTCTTTTTATCAAAATTGTCTGAATCGATACACTTTTCATTCTTCTTCTGCTGTGTCTCTTCAGAACATGAGCAATCATGGCTCTCTTCAACATCCTACCCCTTGTACCACTTAGTAATGTTTTTCTTTTAACTATCCCTCTCACTCCCTATTCTGCCATCCATTTACACAAGCTCATTAGATAGGTTACTTGCTGTTTCCAACTTTCCCTCTTGCCTTCAATGTCCTGTGAGTGACAAATTTTCCGATTATCTTTTCTCATTATGTATCTTAGAAATGTCAACTTTTTTCAGATTCTTAGTACAAGTGTCCTTTTTACTTCCCTTTTCATTAAAACTTCCTCATCACTTACATGCTCTGTCCATGGTATGCTCAGCATCCTTATATAGAAACACCTTGTTATTGCTCCATTAAGACCAGATTTCTGTCAATATTGATTCAGCCTCCTGTACTTTCAGGTTTTATTTCTATCTGAATTTCCAAGACTTTGTTGTTATTGCTGCATATTGATTCTTTCAAGCCAGTTTCCTTATTTTTACATTTGTCGAAACTTTTCTATCACCCTACTCTCCAGCCTTCCTTGCCTCCATTTATTTTATACACGTTATTACTATTATATTGTGACCCAATCATAGTGGGATGCAGAGGATTTGCAGGACAATCATGTTTCAAGACTCTAATAAAAACAGGAATAGTGTGATTCACAAAGAGAATTGAAGTGAAGCAAATAAAAGAAACAACTTCTGAATGGATAAGGTAAAAAAGAGCAGTTCCATGAAAAAAAACAAGGAAGATAAACAAGCAGGTCAAATAGATTCATTTTTATGATGTCAAAATGTCCTGTTAATTTTCCCTTACATTTTTTCTTCTCCCCCAACAAGGCTGAATATCAAGTAAAAATTAAGATAACTGTGTTACATATACATATGTATGGTGTTAGTACTGGTGGAAGATTTGACAGTCAAACTGAATTTAGGTGAGTGTGTGCTTTATGAATACTACTGAGTACACCAGTCATTACTTTGATGGGTCAATGCAACATGGGATTACTGTTCAAATTGACTGTCACATTAGACATGTTATGGTGTTGCAATCAAAGGTAAGGCCTGTTATCTTTAGAAGCAGGTCAAGTTACTGGTGAATTGAGTATGATGTGTAAAACCCAAAACTCAAAATGAAATCAGAGCACATCACTAAAAACTCACTTTGATTTGATTATATATTGATTCTTCCAGCCCAATTTCAGCTGATGTAACTTTCATTCATCATTTTTTTTTTTGGCTGAATTTCTGAGATGAAGTGTTGTGAATATTATATACTGATTTTTTTAAAAAAATCATATTATTGTCAAGACATTATTTCTTATAACTCCAGGTGTACACCAGGAATTTGAGATTAATCTTTGGCAGGTCATAAATAGATGACTTAATCAAATATTATGCATTATGCATCAAATCTTAACATTCATATTTCTCTTTCAGATGTATCAAGTGAATTAGCATGGCAACTTCCAAATTGACACAGGAAATAAAAAGGAATACTAGGCTTGTGGCACTCACTGTCAACTACAGGAACTTGGAGATAGCCAGCTTCATGACAGTGGCTCTGTGCAAACTTCCTGTACTAATAGGAATATCTACTAACAAAATTGTAGCTAATAATCTTAAAGTGCTGCATTCAGCTAGAAAATTCTTTTTTTTTAATGTAAATCATCTAGAAAGCTGAAACATGCACTTCTTCACCAAGTGATAGCCAATATATTGAAAACCAATTGCACCAAATTGGTTATGTTTGTCACTTTGATGTGTGGTTTCCAGTAATGAAGACCAAATTCACATCATACCACCCCACTTCTGTTGGTAACCAACAGGATTTTGCTCCATTCCTCATAGTCCAGGTGATTCAGGAGTGGCTAGCCAAGAATTTTCACAATCATAATAACACTGACATGTGTCCTCTTAGAGAAACTGATTTAAATTATCAGAACTACTACTATGCCTGCAGTGTCATTTAGAGGGATATCAACTATCAAATCCACAATATCAAGGATTTTTTTTTTTTTTGAGATCTTACTGGGAGGGCACAAAAATTTTCAGAACTTATTCATATTTATAATATACATATTATATATGTAATTATGTAAATATATATTTAAGCCATTACTTATGATATAAGCTAGAGAAGAAAACATTGTATTACTAAAATATTAGGGGGTATCAAATATTATTTTTAAAAATATGTTTTTTTTTTTAGAGTGGATGATAATTTTTTCAGTTACTTGCACACTCTGCATTATTTTATTACTAGTTTTACTTAATCTTGTTAATACTGCTTTTTATCATACATGCTCAATTGATATGCTCTTCATTATAACTATTATTTTATTACTAAGCTTCATATAGTTGATTTAGTTTCAGGAGAAAATAAAGACAAAAACTTTCCAACATTTGGCTATATTTTTTATTATGCTGTTCCTCAATCTAAGCATTCAGCTCACATGAGCCATCATCAGAGTGGTTATATGGACATTACAACAGAGATGTTCACCATCAAAGATGACATTGTGTTATGAAGTTATGATGGTTGCGGAATAGTAGATATAGGTCATAAATTGGCAATGCAGTTCTATGACATCATACATAACAATGTGAGAGAAAGAAATGTTATCAACAGAACCATGTGTTTAAATATTTATTATAAACTTATATTTTTCTATTCTTTATCTTTAACTCAGTTTCAGCCACTGTATGCCTCAGCTGTTTCTTAAGTGCAGTTATTATTACACATTAATTGTTACTGTATGCCTGCAGTAGCAACAAGTGAAATCACCATGGTAGTCAAAAAGTTGATTCTGCATTTATCTACTAAATAAATTCAGAGCTGAAACAGAAGCAGCAGAAACAGCTTGGGTAGAATATGTACAGTGTTTAGTAAAGGTGAAGTGAGTGACAATACTGCTCAAAAGTAGTATCTCTTAACAGACAGCCCATTAACATTGGTGATGACCAACTAAGGACTTATGCTGAATCTAATTTGCTTCAAACATGTCAGATATGTGCATTATGGTTGAAAACAATTTGAAAAATATGCACCTCAAGAAAAAAGGCAGCTTAAGAACTCAGAGAATAAAACAAATGCTTGTAACTTCCCTGATAGACAAATGAACCATTTTTCAATCAGCAATGATGAGACATGGTTCCTGCATGACAATCAAAAGTTATCATAAATTTTCCTATCTACAAATGAAGCTCAACTGGAAGCTTGTCAATAAAATATAATGTGTTTTTTGTGGAACAGAACTGATACTGTGGATCACAAGTTTCATTGAACCTTAGGGAGAAATGTACTGTCAGTGATCAGGAATTAATGCAAGCATAACTGAAAAATAGGGCTTATATGTATAACGTAAATGTATTGTTAATGGTTTTACTATAGAAATGCACTGAAAATCAAAAAAAAATGAGATTGTCAGTGGCCAGGAAATAAAGTGATGTAATGGAATAACCTGTCACCCCCATGAGTGACTACACTATAGGTAGTAACTACCTATAAGTGTCTCTACGGAGACTAGCTGGGATCTGTTGAGTACAACTTAGACTTACACAAGAACTATCAACCTTCTAATAGTAGCATTCACTATTGTATTGACTTGCGACAACCTTATGCATAACTGTTACTTTTATTCTTATTGTACTGTTGTTTTTTTTTTACAATAAACCTTTACTTATTTTATCCACATTGTTTTTCAAGTATATATTCCTATTAGCACAGAATATGACATAAAGTAAGTGTTACTGATAGAATACAGCTAACATAAATGTACTGTTAATATTTTACCATAGAAATGCATTGTTAATATTTTACCATAGAAATGCATTAAAACCCAAATGTATTTTCAGTGGTTGGGAATTAAAGCAATATTTATGAATAGAATGAGCCTATCATATGCCATATGTAAATGTCTTGATAATGATTTTATTATAGATGAACATTGCAAATCAGGAAGAAGTTTTTAATGAATTCTGTTATAAATTGACATGATTATTCTTATTTCCTTAATTATTGATCAAATGTAATTGTAAAAATGCTCTAAGCTACAAACTTTGTCTGTCATCAGGGCCATCAGAGGTACAGTGTGCTGACCAGAAATATTGTTTCAATCAAGGTGAATGCTGGCAGAAATTACCACCTTTAGATGAAAAATATTGCAAGTGAGTATACATATATATATATATATATATATGTATATGTGTGTGTGTATATATATATATATATATATTTTAATGATTAAATATTTATTTTCAAATTCCTCTTCCTCCTCAACTTTTCGTAACTAAGGAATTTGAAGATTTTAGTTCCAAAAGAGATGAATTTTGGTTGCTTTGTAGTGTAATGATGAACAAGCTGGGATAGAAGGGAGATCAATCCTGATTGAATGTTTCACTACTGTAGGATTGTCCCTGACTATACTAAGCAAATATCTACATAAGGCACCTGTTGTCAATCAATGGTTGGCAAGTTACTCTTGCAGATGCTACTGTAGAGAGTTCATTTCTCACTTGTGCTCTATCTAAAATTATAACTTTGTGTAAAACTGAGAGGAGCTTATTCCAAGTATTGGTTGGATTACTGATCTCATTCTTTTTATTGTTATCACTGTTTAGGATAATCCATTCTGTAAATCAGAAGTATACAATCCACATGCTTTTTTATTTAAAATTTTGCAAAATGTAAGTTATTTTATATTTTTTTAGAGTAATGCAGACCATAAAATAAAAGTATTCCTACTCACCCTGCAAATGCAAAGTAAAAATGAACATGTATAGTTTTTACAAAAATGTGGGATTAATCTGTATACACATGCAATATAGCACATAACTGTGGTTACAATTCATGGTAGGTTAACCCAGTTACTTTGATAAATTATGATACTCCTGATACACTTAATACAATGAGGATGAGTATAAACAGTACAAGGCAAAAACATGGACGCACACATAGAAAGTCAATTTTTGTATTTTTATCAAGACAAGTGAGTAATAGAATTCATTTATTAATACAGGGTATTGTTACAGGTGTACATATGTACATTATACAAGTCAAAAAATGTTTTAGTTACAATAACAATCTTAAGCATACTGCCTTAAAGAATAAATGTTATCTAGCAACAAGGGTAAATTACAACACTTCCAGAGGCCTTGTCAGAGTCCTGACCTTAACCCAATTGAAAAACTTTGGGCAATAATGGACAAGCATGCCTGTAATAGGAAAGTTAACATAGAAGATGAGCTTTTTCGTGAATTAAAGGAATGTTAGAAAAATCTGGTAAAGGACATGAACTTACTAAAGAATTTAGTTTATAGCATGCCATGAAGAATTAAGGCAATTGTTAAACCAAAAGGTTACCCAAAAAAATACTAAATCTTTTTTGACCTGTATCATGTACATATGTACACCTGTATTAATAAACAAATTCTATTACTCACTCGTCTTGGTAAAAATACAAAAATTGATTTTCTAAGGGTGTGTCCATTTTTTTTTTTGTACTATATATATATATATATATATATATATATATATATATATATATATATATATAAATAATGGAATTATCCATACAGATTACCAAACACATATTTACCTATATATATATATATATATATATATATATATATATATATATGAAGAAATATAGTTTTAAGGTGTAGTATATTTATGGGATAAAGTGCTCAATATCAGAGATAGAGTATATGTAAATATAAAGTGAACATTGAAGTCAATACTCAAGCGACAGGCTGTTTCATGATGGACACAATCATCAGGCGTGGCCTGACGATTGTGTCCAGCATGAAAACAGCCTGTGTAAACAATGTTATTATATATATTCGTATATATATATATATATATATATACACACACACACACATAAAAACATTTATTAGCATTTGTCACAAACAATTGAACTTGTCATAGATAGTTGGTAATTGAATGTCAAAAATTCCTAACTAAGGTGTTTTTAGCCTTTGAAAGGACGTCTTCAGACTGATAATAGTTTTACCAATGGAGATTTATTATTAGTCTGAAATAGACCTTTCAAGAGATATAATATAAGAGTTTTTTCCCACTTTGTCAGTCAATTATCCACTATTAGTTTGATATACAGATTTGTATATTGTATCTTCTATATATATATATATATATATATATATATATATATATATATATATATATATATATATATTTGTGTATTTAGGCAGCAGTCCTTCTTTCATGCACATTTCATTGAATATGACAGACACGGTGCTTGATTAATTTTTTTATATAATTTCTCATGTGATCTAATAATTTTTTTTATTTTCAGATGATAAATTGCTTTCAGCTATACATTTAGCTATTTTCAAAGATGAAATATTTTAACTGTTAAATAAGAAATATTTAATGAAAATATTATATAAATACATGCATGCAACAAACTATTTCTATGAAATTCAATGAAATGTATATATATATATATATATATATATATATATATGTGTGTGTGTGTCTGTGTTTAAAATAAGATATATTCATGGGGTGAATGCTCAATTTATAATGTTAGACAATGTGGACAGAGGTATCTACATGGTGACTGTCAGTTTCAGGCTTCAATGAAATCTTCAGATCAAGTGTCACTATTCATTTAGCAGGTTGTAGATGTAAGTGTAAATCAGCAATCTAGGGATCATGACTGTAAATAACCATCAGCATCAGCCCTAAAATTGGCAAAGACCAGTTTTCTCTTTTCCATTTCTATTAATTCCATAGTAATCTATATACACACCCTACTATATATATATATATATATATATATACAACCTGTTAAAGGAGTAATGGCACATGGTCTGAAGATGGCACTGAAGTGTGAAACTGAAAGTCATCCTGCAGTATTGTTTCTTATATCCACATTGTCTTTATATATAATACTTCTCTGTATAAATATAGCCAATTTTAAATATTATAGATAGATAAGGGTCACAGTTCATGGTGGATTTTCCAAAATAGTCCAGTTTGTTTCTGATATTAAAGTAAATCAGCTTTTATTCCTGATCCTACTTCACTCAGTAATGTTTAGAGACAAATCCTTGGTTACCAGGCCTCTGATCTGTTTTTTTGCCTTCTTCAGACATGTTCAATTGTTTGTGACAAATGTTAATGAAAAGCCAGAAAATGATAGTTGAGTAAAGAAATAGTGGAGGATAATCATACTGATCATAGCAACCCATTCACAACAATGCTTGTAACACAAGTGATTCCATATTTTGCACACAGTGCATAACATTGTTTTCCAGTCATTACTTTGCTAAGCCAAGAAATTCACATCATTTTAATAGCTTCTCAAATTTTCTCACTTGCCATTACTAAGCTTTATCTATTTATTTGTACTTTATACCAAAGTAAATAGTGTGTGCCCTTCTACTTCTAGATATGGTCTGCTATCCAAGATTTTATACATCATCTTTCAGTCAATAGTCCAAACAATTCTTGGAATGATAATGGCTCATCTCAAAATTACAGAAGATGAGCAATTTACAAAATTACAGATGGTAACAATTTGCAAACTTTACTCTAGAATGATAGGTTAGCAAACCAGTTTCAAATACCTTTTACTTATCTGGATCACTGGATACTACAATACTCTAGTCTGTGCCAGATTCAACTAAGCTTAGTAAAAAGTTACAGTGGGGAAATGGTCGACAAGCACCTCTTATTGACTATTCACTTGTCATACTGTGGCCTTATTGGCACCTGCTATAGAGCACTGATTACCAAGCTCATCTCACAGACCATTACAAGTGAGTTTAATTTTCAATGAGTACTTCACTATTCTCACATTATTCAGAGCTTAGTATTAATTTTATTATGAGCTGCAATTTTACATGAGAAAGTTTTCATTTTTCTTTTGCTTTCCTTTTCTTGCTAGCTTGTTGTTTATGGAAAGGAAAACCTCAGGTTGTTTTTAGTAAAATTTTATTTTCAATGATTAAGATTTTTATGGGCCTTTCATTCTGTTTCTTTCCTAAGAAATAAGTCAGCTATATATATTATTTTACTGGCTGAACTAGTGTTAATATCAGCTCTGGGATTTCATTCAAGTTGCATGCATTCCTTTGTTTTTTAAAATTTTTCATTGTTGAACTTTTCAGTTTTGTATCTTTGTTTAAATTCCTATATCTTAAAGGAAAATGTTTACATTTTGACATTGTTTCTATTCAATTATTTTAAAAATATTCACATTGCTACTTCATTTGTTATGAATATATATGTATAACATTTAGCTTTTAAATTAATCCAACATTTGTAATAGATACTTCTGGGGGAAAAATTCATTAAATACTATCTGTCTGAGCTGCAATTGAGTAATTTTTTTTTCTAATCTTTTAGTGCTAGAAAGAGTACTTGAAAGTTTCAAGGGTGTCTCATAAATAAAACTGTTTTTTTAACAGCACCAATTAGCATACTTTCAGTATTTCTTTTATAATTGATTTCCTACTCGATGCCTTAAAAAATCCAGTCTAGTTTCACATAAAAGGAGGAGTTTTCTGAACATTTGTTGTGTAGCATATGATTCATGATAGGAATTCATCAGTATGTACTGGGTTCAACCTAAGAAATACCAGACTAATTTTTGTACTCTGTATTAAGTCAAAAAGACAAAAATCATAGCAATCTCAAGAGATAACATAGAAGGTGACTGCAAATTCACCAAGTGCAGAATTGGTCCTTGAATGATCCCAGTGGGTATACCAGTATAAACAAGGAAGTGATCCCAGCTGAACTTAGGATATTTACAGAAAACAACCAGTTAACAATAAGTTTATAAGTTATATAAATATCTGTCCTAAGAGAGAAAAAAGAGAAACCCTCACATCCTCACAAGAACAAGATCAAACATTCAAAGGACTTAAAACTACACACCCTTGATCTGGCCAACATTAATTTGGCAGAGTCCAGAAATTAAAAAACAATTATTTTAGAAATAAAAAATTTAGTCTTATATTCTTACTAGAAGTTACTAATATTATAGTCTCTTGTTTTTTAAGTTGCTCAAAACTTCTCCAGTTACCCACATCAAATGCTATCAAGAACACAGCTTTGCTATGGGCAAGTCTTAAGTGGATATTTTCATGATGACTACAAGATTATCAGAACTGAGCTCATATGAATTTCTGGACATC